AGGCTGGCATGCCAGCGCCCCGGGAAGCGGACGGGCTGCAGCCCCGGCTCCGGGAGCAGGTCACCTTCCCGACTCTGCAGCGGCTATTCCCAGCATTTCTGAACACCGGAAACCTTGGCACGAAACTGCAGAACGTAGGGGAGCAGGCGGGGCTCCACCGTGGTGCTGTGAAGGAGTCTGCCCTAGATCCATCTCGCTCTTGAGAAGGGGCTTGGGCAAAGCTGCACTGTAGAGACACGTTCAAAATACCTCCGTGCCAACCTAGACACTCCTACGCAAGTCACTTGCTTTCAAAAAACACATTTGGTAAATACTTACCCTGAGCTTAATTACCCGATGTTTTTGGTATTATGGATTGTAATACAAAAAGGCGGTATTAGTTGTACAGCTTAACTGCACATGCCTCAGAGATTTGAAGAGAGTTAAATTCGTTCTGTTAAAAAAAAAAAAAAGAAGAGGCAGCAGAAAGGAAAGCTTCACAAAAAAATATTTTTAATATGCTTTACCACAACTTTTCACTTTTCCGGTTACATAGAAAAAAAGAGACAAGTTTGGTACACGGGCGCTAAAAACCAACCGGCATTCTCCTCTGGAACAGACTAATTTATGACCCAACTCCATTTTCTTGGGCTCTTTAAAATAAAGAAACAGCTATTTTTCCTCCCAAAGCACAGTATTTCTTCAGCAGCAATGGAAACGGGATCACAGCAGCTTAACTTGACCCTTCTATAAAGCTTTGTATAAACCAGTGATTTTATGGTGACAACACTGTCCTTGAAAGAAAGAGCGGCAGTCAGGCATCAATGCAAACATGGAATGATAAGGTCATAAACATATGGCACTTAAGAAGATAGCTTATTTGAAGGCACCACCATAGCAAAGTGGCCAGTTGTTCCACTATATGCCCAAAGAAATAAGTTTTCTTTCTGAAATTTATAAAACTATTTAAAAAAAACCAATTTGTACCCAAAACATGTGCTTTTAAAAAAATATGAACTGTGCTAAGCAACTCTTAAAATTTTGGTATATATGTGTATACCTATATACATACACACACCAAAAAAGCATGCGTGTTTGTATATATATAGATACCTATTTTCCCTTTAAACTTTTAAGGCTTCAGGAGTTGGTCCTCACATTCAGTAGCTTTCTAGCTTAAGACGACCTCCATCTCCTTCGCTCACAAAACGCTTCCTGCCCCTGTAAGAAAGTAGAAAGTATCTTTTCAGTAAGTTCAAAGTAGCATCACTTGTGTTTTCTTACCTATCACTGAAAAGAATTTTCTCTTGGTCTTGGGAGTCAAATATAAGGTTCAGCAAGATCAGCTGACATTCTTGATCACTGATAAATTGCTTAAAAAAGTGAATCTATCAAAATCTTACATCTAGGTTTATTTGTAAGAAGCTTTTCAAAATTTGCATTGTCAAGTGCTTTCTACTTTGCTTACCTTCCATTGTTCACAGTTCCAGAAGATGCTAGTTTGAGAGCATAGGAATGTTGTTTCTATCCAAAACTGAAACGCGTAAGCCAAAAATGCCTCTCAGTGTATTAATGGTAACTGAAGTATAATCAAGCTTTTCTTGCAGCAATGACTTTCAACCCTCCCACACCCCAAACCTATAAAACATTTGATACCAAGATACACACAAACTCAGTTTTAAGTTTAAAGTCCACAAATGGAGGCTGTTTTTGATAAAGACACTTAACATTTCAAAATCTGAGTTTATTGCAAGCTGTCAAGATGGTTTAAGAAGCCTACCTAACAAAACACCAAATGTGCAAATTTTCCTGATGCAGAAAATTGCAAAGAATAGTTTTAACATCGTATTTCAAAATTTACACATATTCCCCACAGGAAATGAAAATTATTTATTGTATTATGGCCACTAAGGAGAGAATCAGAATACTGATTAGCTACAGTTCAAACAGCATTATTTATGCTATGGATAAGTAAATAAATAACAAAACAAAAAGCACTATACAAACATGACAGACAGATACAAAGGGATCAGGTGTGTACAGCTTATTCCACAGAAGTGTCCTATTCCTTTTGATGTAAGCATTAGAATTGGTGGTCTTGTCTTAGAACTGCATTCATGACGTTTGGTATGTTTAAACCATTTTTTTAAGCAATTTTTTTTCCCCCCACTGTAGCTGACAGTTTTCCACTGCCACCTACATGAATCATTGCCACACCTGAATCTTCCCTCTCGGTACTGCACTGATCTCTACCAAGCCAATCAGCACAACAGAGGGGAGAGGAGGCAGGCCTTCATCCTCTGGAGAGCACACAGGTGTGCTGCCTGGGACTTGCCAGAGCCTTACTTTCCTCAAGTATATATCCCAGCCTCCACGTAACAGGTTTCGTGTCAGTGTAGCTGCTTAATAAAATTTTTACCAGTCTAACCCTCTGTTTCTCCATCCTCCATAGCTTCTAGTTCCAATCTGTAATATTTTGGTCATAAGATCCTGCTTTCTGTTACCTACAATGGGGACAAAAAGCAGTGCCTTCACCTATCTACAATAAGACAAATACCTTGAAGGGCAGAGGTCTCTCAGTGGTTTGGAGATCATTCCAGCCTGAAAGCATTCCTCTACAAACCGCTCAAGCACAGAATACGAGTGTGGCACATCCAGGTTAATATCTGGGATTTCACAGTAAACTCGTTCATAGCCCTGCAATGTAAGAATTCGAATAGTGATCTAGTTATTCTATGATTTTACTACAAATTTTTTAAATACTCTTTCGCACTCGAAGATTTATTTTTCCATATAGTTTCATGTATACTAATGACAGTTTCAACAAACCTAAAGCAGAGCAGCTGCAAGTCAGTGGAAAATCAAGGTCGAATACCAGCCAATACCATGGTGTTACACAACTACCTGTCTACATAGAAACACCAGCTGAATTTTTAACTTCTTTAGAAGTCAAATCCAGACAGCACAGAATGTGTATGGTAGCCTGGCTGCTATTGCATGGGTAGTAACACAAGGAAGAAAAATTAATTTTTCTTCCATGTAAATGAAAAAAAAAAAAAGTGTCCACAAATCTCCACCACAACAGTTTATGCAGTATGGGAAACACTGGTGACAGCCAGAGATGACTTCATCACTTCCCGCCAGCAGTATGGCTGGGTAAATTTTGACACAAGTCTGTGTGGTACCTAGTTTGCCCTGGGACAGAAAAGCTGTCCTATATTAATATCCAGAAGGAAAGCCATGGATGATTCCAACTGTGTAAAATATTAGCTTCTATATACGGTTCTAATTGACATTTTTAATTAAGGGAGTCCTTATTGTACTACTTCAATTATGAAGAACTACTGGATAAAAAGAAAAATTGTATTTAAGAAAAATGAAGCTATATTGCAGCATTTTAAATTATTAGTTTTAACCATTTAATTATATAAAACCAGTTGGAAGCCTTTGAATGAAGATTCAAATATTCTGTACCTTGCAGTTCTACAGAGAGCTTACTGCTCAGAATTAACTTGTACTTCTTCTAGTACATAGAATCATTTAGGTTGGAAAAGACCTTTAAGATCATCAAGTCCAACAGTTAACCCAGCACTGCCAAGTCCACCACTAAACCATGTCCCTAAGCACCACATCTACAAGTATTGTACATGTATCAGTGACAGATTATTTGCATGGGATACAGAATGACCACGGAGAATTTTAAAAAAAAGTAGCAGTCAGCAACAGACTACAAATAGCACTTAAAAGAAGATAAAAACTATACAAATTTTGGAAGACCTTACCCAAAATTCTCTAAATGCCACACTTACTCTTTTCATTTGGTCCATAGTAATCACAGAAGACCTCCAGAGAAATTTCAACAAATCCAGTATCATTTTAAAGGTCTTTTCTCCAGTTGACTCCAAAACCATTACAATGGCCTGAAACAAATCATGCAAGTATTTTAACTAAAAAGAAACGGTGGTTTGAGTACATGTTGTGTAAGCATATGAGGTGCAAGAAGGAGTGACCGCAGCATTATGCATTTTCTGGGGAGACAAGCCCATTTATTACTTGCACTCAAGTTATTTGGATAAAGATAAAAGGTATGAAAAAACAGGACTAGACAGAGTGAAAAGCATTGCCTTTCTGGCTTGGTATTGAGAGATACATGATTATCTCTCTCTCTCTCTCTAAATATGCATCTCGGGATCTGTAGCAATAGCGCAAGAGGTAATGGTTTTAAATTAATAGGGGATAGATTTCAACTAGAGATAAGGAAGAAATTTTTCACAATGAGGGTGGTGAAGCATTGGCACAGGTTGCCCAGAGAGATGGTAGATGCCCCATTCCTGGAAACATTCCAGGTCACGTTGGACGGGGCTCTGAGCAACCTGATCTAGTTAGGGATGTCCCTGCTCACGGCAGGGGGGTTGGACTAGATGACCTTTAAAGGTCCCTTCCAACCCAAAGATTCTATGATATCCATATGGCTGCTGCAGTACAGATGGCAATTAATTAATTTTGTGAAATTAATTTTGTATCTATGATTTTTTTTTTATTTGTGATTTCAGAAGAACTTCAAAGTTTAAAATCTGCAGATCTCTACAACCTCCATCAGCTGAAAGGATTCTGGTTTTCTATCATGAAGGAATTTTCTAAAAGGAGTCAATTTACAGATAAGAAAATTTTTTAGACTGTGGGTGTTCAGCTTTATCAGTAAACAGCCATTTCCCAATTTGGCAGATGAAGGAGTACAAATGGGAACAGTCTCCCAGATGCAGCAGAGAAGATCTTTCCTTCATGTAGTCTGGTTCTGAAACATCTCAGAGCTTTTACAAATATGCTATATGGAACAATCCCACCCTGAAAAGGAAGTTCTGTAACTTAAAACAGGTAACACCCATTAGAATACCCAAATATCTGAAACTGAAAAGAAACAAACACCAAAACAAAGCGTGTTTTTTGCTGCTATTCCTCAGCTGAAAATAAACCAAGCTCTTTTTCAGGAATCTGTAATAATCTGAATTCAACTATTTACACAACAAACAAAAATTAGTTCTGGATCTTCCCAGAGTTAGCAGCTTATTTGCTGCACAATGTGCACACAAACAAGCACACAAAATATTAACTTCACATGAAACAATTTAGCTATTCAAATAATATCAGAACTCGCAACCTGAGCTTCAGATTCCAGTTATATTATTTGCATGCCCACAACAAAACCAAACCTGTTGGTATTACTGACAATCATTAAAGGGACTCTGATTACTCCTTACTTCATATACAAGTTCATGGTGAAAATGGGGTACTTCCAGTTCCTGAAGACAACGTTCAGCTTCCAGTACATCTCCAGAAAGCAAATACTCTTTCAGCAACATATCAATCTGTTGAATTTTAAAACAAACAAAAAGCCCAACACTAATTAGGTATAAAATTTAAAAGGTGTCAACTGTTTTGATAGCCTGCAATCAATCCAGCTGCAAGTTCCTGAAACTTGCTGTTAGTGTTTTTATAAATGTAATTAAATTGAGACATTATCAGCAACCTGAAGCACAGTGTAGGCCAGACACCTATCCATAGCATTAATACAGACACACAAGCACCAAAAACATTGCTTTCTAAGATGTGTAGCCCCATAAAAGGCTAATATGGGTACGATTATGTTTATCTTCTCCCCTGAACTCCTATCGTTACATTCAACCTAGAAATTATAACATGACCTTTTCCTTTAAACCTGCACACTTCATAGCATGGATCACTGAACATTCCTGTTTCTTCCTCTCTTTTTTTTCAGTTATTACTGTGCTTTTAATCAATGATGCCAGATAATAATAATAGTTTATCTAGTTTAGACAGTTTCATCTTGGCTCTTCTAATTACTTCACCATTTTATATTGTAAGCTCTTAAAAAGCTAAGTGCTTAAAAGTTTTGCTTAAAGCAAAAACAAATGTGTACTTGCAAACAGAGAATACTGTACTAGCATGTTCCCACCATTGACAAATACTACAGAATCAACAAAATGATCTATACTACATAAATTTTTAAAGACTACTTTGTATAAATAAATTATTTAAAAACTCAAAAAATAAAAACAACATTCAGAACATAATTTTGCTACAGGATGTATGTATCTCTTCACTCCATCCCAAACAAGATAAACTCAGACAAACAGTAAACTCTAGAGAGAAGAGTTCTGCAGAAGTCAGTTACCTCTTTAACAAGGTGTTTCACAGACTGCTGGCCACCTCCTGACCCCCACACATTGTCAATACGCTTTCCACCCTTTGTCATACTCAGCAACACAGTAGCTCGGTCCAGCGCAGCTCTAGAAAGCAAAGTTAGCATTTTAAAAAGTTATTACAGAACTTCATTAAAAGGCATCTGTAACTTCCCCTGCTGCCATTCCTCTTTGGGCAAAGCAACCAGATCCCTGGGAAGAGGTCAGGGTTAGCAACTCCATAGGGACATCTGGATCAAGAAGCCAGCAAGCTAGCTCCCCACATTCTCTTTCACCACCTTTACACTTTCGGTTATACCATGCTAAGGACAGGTAACAATCCTGTGGTGGCTGCAGATCTGAATCATCAATACAGAACCTGAAACATCCTCATGAGAAAGAACTTAGTATGTTCTTATGCAGAGATGGATTATATCCGGGCTCCTCCAAGAATGCAACTTGGCATGCATACCTCAAACAAAAATTGCTTCCACACTGAAGAACAGCTTTCTACTGAAATATTATTTTCTGATTGGGTCTGAAGAATTATGAAACCTTGTGAATTTAAGCCAAAACAGCACTTCAGAAGGCAAGTATGTAGTTGCAAAAAGATGGCGTGAACTAGGGAAGCTTGCTAGTTCGTTGAGAAAAGAATGAAAAAGGAAGTAAAGTGGAAAAAGGAAATCTGAGATCCAGTTAAGCACCATACAGCTAAAGAAGGAACAGTCATCCCATTCCTCATACTGCAGGCTAGCCAATAACAGTAACTCCATTCACCAAGACTTAACAAGCAGAAAATACAGGTCAAGAAATAGCAAAGGCAGCAAAGCATCCCAGATGTGCAATATGCAGGCTACAATCCTTCAAATCACAGGAGACATTTGTATAACTGACAATGTCCACAATTCGAACCCTCAAGTTAGGCAGCTAAGCATTTCCCTTCCTTCTAAAAGTACTCATATAATCACTACAAATGGAAATTTCAGAAGCTGCAAGAGTTCAGCACCTGCATTTCAAGCCTGAAACATACACTTATGGGGAAGAAAGAATAAAACATGACTAGTTATTAAAATGTCCCTCTTTGTCAGAGATTGCTTCTTCAAACTTCTCACCCTGACATGGAAAACAATTACACTTCTTGATAAATAAAGCATTACAAAGAAAGTCTGGGAAAGCACTGCACAAGCTTCAAACCTTTATAAGGCAAAACAGTTAATCCCTTGTGTATTTCACAGAATATTTACAGCAGCTGTCCTGATGCTATATTTACTCATTAATCACATTAAAGCTTTTTCTAAAGACAAAACCTTCTATAATCACTTCTTGTTTCAGCTCTTTTCCCACCCTCAAACAGAAGTTGGACAACAAACCTGACAAATTGAACTCAATACATTTTTCAGGTCCTTGCAATATTTATCCTCTGACCCAACTCATTCTGGATTTTGTTGTTGTCATCGTTGCAGGCTTTGTGGGTTTCTTTTTTATAATTTTAAATGAAAAAAATAAGAAGTTATAGAGAACCACATTATTTATCCTGAAGTCCTAAATTCCTGATCATTATCTTTGGCATTTGGAATAGAAGACTGCAGCTATATAGAAAGCAAGAAAAGTTACCGAGCTTGGACGCAATCCACAGTGCCTTTGTAACCATCGATGTAGGTACTGCTTAGAATCCCATCTCCAACAGCTCTAGCAATAAACTGGCCCACCAACTGCAACAGAACAGAAGCATTTGTAATTAAATTTTGAATTTCAAAGTAGTTTTAGGTAGACAATTATAACGTCTTTGGTTTTCAGATTTTATTTAAACGAGGCATCTTAAAGTACAAATACAGCCTGGGAAATTGGTAGGAGATTACAGACAGTAAGACAATCCGTAGATATTTTTCAAAATACAGAGTCTCCTTCAGTTTACTTAATCAATGTTAGCCACAATTTAAAAGAAAAAGCTTTTGACTACTAGCATAAAACTTTACAAATATACCTGTGGTGCTCTGGGAGAATCCAACACCAATTCAGGTAGTTCTTTAAGCAGTCTATCAAATGATTTTTCCACATCAGTTTTGCTTACTACTGTCCCACAAAGGTCAGAGATAAGCTTAGATGTCATTTCCCTGTGACTAGCCTTGCCCTCTAATGCCAAGGAAACAGCCAGCACTGGCACACTGTATTTCATTTCACCAAGGTTTAAATCCTTCAGCATCTCCTAAATAAGAGTTAAAAAACAAAACAGATTAAGATTTCATAATTCTTATTGTATACATAATATAAATATATTATTAATAAATAAATATTATGCACTTGTATTTATATACTTACATACAAGCTTCTGCTCATGTAATGAATATAACTGCTTAGGTATTGTTATTGCACATTTCTTGCCAACATCTCATTTATACACTCATTTATAGCTAGCAGTTGGATTCTCTTGTATTCTACAAGTTTGCCCCCTAAAATAAATAAGTAAAAAGGTATGCGACATACCGAAACTTCGTTAGTATCTCCATGTTCAAAATATTCCTGTATGATTGGTGTTAAAGTTTTTTCAAATGCTCTTTCATCCAGAGGTAAAACTACTGTTTCATAGATGCAGTTCTCCTATTTAAAAACACAACAAAACCATATACCCTTTTGTACACAATACTGTCTCCTCTTACATCTTAGGCAGTGCTAATAGCATCAAAATGTATCTTCTGAATCCTTAATGCTTTAGTCTTGGTAGTCAGTATTCTGCCAGAAAACATGAGATGTCTCTACCATTAAACTCTGGACAATGCTGGCTGAATGTCATGCTTCTTGTATTTTGAATTTACTGTTAGCTGAATTCAACTGAAAGGCTGAATTTACTGTTAAACAATGGTAAACACTCCAAACTCTGTTCCTAGGATTCTGCTGACCCCACATGAACACAGAGATCAAGTGCGTATGAACTGAAGGGAGAGCAACAGAAAATCTTGTCCCAGCCCAGCAACTAGCTGTGCCACAGCACAAGGTTTAACTTTCAGCATCTTCCCCTGGAAGTGGCACTCCAGTTCCTGACAGCAAGCCCGCCTGTGTTCCCTCTTCCTTAGTGACTGCATGATGACAGCATGTACACAGAGAAAAGGTATTTTCAGAGTATTTATGAGCAAAGACATTCCCTAAGGGGAAAAAAGAATCACTTAGCAACTGCCTCCTGTATAACCTGGTCCTGCAGAATGCCAGCACAACCAGATCTCCCCGCTGCAATTCAGCTCCCTACTCCTCACAGACTACAGAAGTAACATTCAGAACAATACTACAAATTACAGAAATCTGAACAAAGAAGTTTTCCAACTAATGCTTATTGGAAAGAAGCTTTCCATGATCAAGTAGAATAGCAGAAGTCCAAAAGCCTGTCCTTCCATCACATCAGTCTTCATTTTCAACCTTAGAAAAGCTAAGCATATAGAAGATCCATGGAATATTCATTTTTCATTATACTTGCTTTTACGCACTCGTCAGCTTCATCTTTAATAGCTGTCTCTACTAATGGAAGTGTTGAATTGCAGGGAAAAAAATTATACTGGAAGAAAGCTTTGGTATTCCCCCATACCATCCTCTCAGCAGCTACGGCTACAACAAACAGCCTCTGCTCAAAGGACACCACCATTGCTCTGCTTATGTTATACAGAATTTACTTACAGTCTCATAATTGTATTGATCTCAGAAACTTTAGTAACTGTGTTTGTAATCAGTGTTTCCCTTCCTCGGTAATTTAATGTTATAAAGCACCCTTTGTGCAATAAGCTTTACTCCGCACCCCACCCCATCCCCCCAATAAGATGGCTGTAAGGTACAATCTTCCACAACATATCCTAAATAAATACATGCAAACAAAATATCCAGACTATCAACTTTGCAGTAGTTTGAAGTGTTTCTACCAAGCAGATTCAAGATACTGTGAATGCTGGGAATACAGGGAAGAGAAAAATCCATAAAGGATACTGTCCCAGACTAAAGTCCTAACTTGTGAAAGTCTGTGTGGAATTTTTCATATGGTGCCTGTTTGCAATACCGAGCAGCATTGTGATATTCTATGAGAACCAGCAGCGAAAGAACATGCCTGGGAAAAGGGTGCTGCCTAGCCAGGCGCAGAAAGAGAGCTTGTGGGGTAAGATTTGTGAGTGTTACAGTACGACACGTCTACACCAGTTGTCTTTAGGCAATAATCCGTTCATGAACATAAAAATGAGCATTTAGTACAGCCAGGCTGACATTCACGTAACTCACAAGGTCAAACTTTCATTAATATAAGCATCACAGCAACTGAAATCAATAAAGGGAATAAAAACCAACACTGCAAAGAAATTATTTGCCTACCTGGTCATCATCATAGTTAGGATCCTTAATATCTACTTCTTCCACATCATACACTTGACCTGGTGTTCCCCAAACTCCTTTACCGCCTGCTCCACCTGGCAAAATATGGGAGAGTAAGCAAGGATCACCAGTTTACAAAGAATACTTCTGAGTTCAACCCAACATTCTTAAAAGTGATGTATCACTGCTTGTGCCCACCTCCTGACTAACAATATATGCTGAGAAGGATGTGTTTGTATGACATGTTCCCACTTTAGCAACCAGTCTTTTCATCACTTTCCAGTAAGATACTAGAAGCAGCATGAAACTGCACAAGAACTACTGAAGGTTGAAACTGTACTTTCGAATATAACAATACTTTAAGTTTGTATTAATAACAGTCCTGTGAACCACCAATGCTTCGAATTTGTCTATTAAATTTGCTAAGAAAAGGTACTTACCTTAAAGACAGAAGTTGATGATACACATACAGAATTTTCTAAGAATGCCACCTACTATTAGCTCCTATTGCCACCTGCTGTCTAACAAAGAACCAAATGCCACCACAGAGACTGTTGCTTATGAAAATGATTCCCAGAGGAAAAAAATTTACTGTTTTGGACAGACTCTTCCTGACAGTACTCTCTTATGCTACACCTACCTTTCTTTGGTAGACCCCTTCCCTTTCCAGATCGGGATCGCCTGTCCAGGAGTTTTCCCTTAGGGCTCGTTGGTATGACAACTCCAATCTTCAGTGTCTCTCCATTGTCACTAACGGAGTCTCCTCTCCCAGAATCTCTAGAAGAATTTTTCCTCAACCGTCTCTTTGCTTTAGCATTTATTTTGGCTTCAGTAATTGAAGTTGCAGGAATCCAGTTTCCATTGATTTCAGTCTTTCGCTCCTCAGATCCACCATTTTCTTCATCACCAGAAAATGGAGCATCACTTAGATTCTCAAGTTCTTAAAAAGGAGACAGACCAAAAAAATCTGTTATAGTTTTAAAGAGTTTTTATGTTAAAATACCAAAACACATTCCATTTAAAAAGGATTACAACATTAAATAGAACTCTTATTTCCAACAGTGTTAAGGCAAATGGTGTTGGCTTTAGAATATGTCTACACATTACAGTAATAAGGAGTTCCTTATTCCCCTGCACAAATTATCCACAATCTAAACAGAGTGTATGTCAAGGGTTGGAAAGCAAATGAATAAACCATTTATAAAAAGGTAAACCACAGAAAACCCCATCCTTGTTAAACAAAAACTATCAGAACTCCTCGGTGCATAAGGTCTACGTGCCTAGTTCTTGCTCCACCCACTCATCTCTCGATCTAGAAACAAAACTATCAATACAGTAAATTCTGTAACAACTCACTAATGTTAACAGACCAGTCACCAAAGTGAAATTAGTTCCATAAATCATCAACCAACATTCCCCTCATTCAAGGAATCTCAAACAGCTCACCAGCTAGAAAAGCAATGATTTAGACTTACAAGAATACAAAAACATCACGACTCTTACGGGGGGGGAACCACTTAACACAAAGTCTGGGCCGTTTGGTAACGAAGACTCATAGAATAAAGTCTTTTGAAACAGTATGATCTCTCTTCTCTATGGATTGCCCCTCACTGTGACTTCCATCAAGACTGTTTCTAAAATGGCCATGATTTATTCCCCAGCACAATCATATGTAATAGCTGACTAGCTTTTTTTCATACCCAACAAAAAAACCTCTCACAACTTAAAGATGTAAATGTGTGAGCACGGAGAAGTGCAATAATTTCACTCTTTTGGGAAGTTAATGCACATTTAAAATTTGGATCTAAAGTCTTTTATCACAAAGTCAGGCTGTCCCTCACCTGAGCTATATGGTTCTGCAGCACATCTTACTGAGAGCATTAAGCACAAAAAGCCTTCATCATTTCTTCTTCCCCTTCTTAAGCCATTAAGATGAAAAAAAATGTCTGGGGACCTGTTTTACATTCCAGTTGGTACCCTGGGGTCCTTGCAAATTGGAAAAACACACGCCAAGGGAAAAGGCTCAGTTCTGTTACACAGACCTGCTTTTCTTGAGGATTCAGTAGAGTCTCAAAAGATACAACCTATAGCCCAAACCCTAGAAAGTGCAATGATGAGGCACACAGAAGCAGCTGCTTTTCCAGCTATGCCAAAACTACTTTATGGAGAAGTTCACTGCCATAAACCCAGAATATGAAGAGTATTTTAAATTTATATTTGAACTTAGCTGAATGTATTACTTCACTATCCCAATACATTCTAATTAGCAACATTCATTTGGCAATACTTCTCAGAACTGTATTTTTTCAATTCAAAACAGGGTCATGAAAAATTATTTTGAAAGCAAAGTGCACTAATAAAATATTTCCAACCTCAGAGTATTTACCCATATCAAAGAGAATTCTACACTACAAAATGAAGAGAGTTTGATGCAACTGCCTCCTTCATGATCAAAGAAATAACATTTAGATACTAGTCTTCACAGATGTGAATGCTATAGCTGAACAGTAATGCAGCCATTCCAGTCTAAGCTTCATCTTTCCACTCATTACTCCCACAAAAACATTCCTTTTATGCTTGCAGCAAGCTAAGAAAGAAAACCATGCATCATGTTCAGGAAAAGATTCCCACAACACGCTTTCTCAGTTTGTCTAATATTTTAATAAAACAATGAGAGATTTGCGTAACGCTAGCAGAGGGGGGGGGGGAAAGCAAAACCAAACAGGTTTCCTTCCTCTCATTCCCCAGGGAGACCCCATCAGCACAACCAGCTCATCTCAGACAACTGAATTTAAATTATTCTTTGTCATGCTCACTCTCCCATGAATTTCTGCAGTCTAGACCTGCAATCTGTCTGTCCAGGAACTACACTATTCAATGACCACTTAATTCTTTCTCGGTTTCCAAAGAAAATGGCCAACAATTAACACAAGTCAGTCCTGAATCTGACAACTAAGGATAAAATGGGAGGCTGCAGTCCAACCTCCTTACACAATACTGATCTCAGGTTTGAGACTAAAGGAAATCCTCCACAGGAAACGTCCGACCCATAAGAGTTAGTATTTCTCACTGCATTACTAAGCTATTTTTTAATACAACACTATCACTTCCAGCTGCAACCTCTTTCTCCATAATACTATGACCAACTGGCCCTCCACTATTAGTTACCTAGTTAGGCTGAAAAAAACAGGTTAGAGAGATACATTAATTTTGAATAATTTTCTAAAATAGAATAGTTTTATGAAAAGTACATATAAAATTATGCAGCTCTTCCTTTCAGTTTCTCATTTTGCCATGATATGCATACACATATATAAGCAGTAACAGTATTCTGTAAACTTTACAACTTTGCTTACTGTATATTAAAGAGTTATCCACATCGATCTTATTACCCTGCTATTAAGCCTAGCAGGCACACTTAAAATCTGTGGTTTTATGGTGCTACCTTAATTAACAAGGCATTCAGAAAGCACTTACCTACAAACAAATTTCATTTCACCAAATTAGGTCTATTTAGATACCTAGCAGTTTCCCACCTATTATCCAAATATAATTCTAAAATGCTGAGAAGCAATGTACCTTCTACATTAAACTAATTTGGGTTTAAAATAAGAGCTCATATGGAGCATGTTGCCACTTCAAGTGCATTACATACCATCTTAATATATATGATTTTTTTCTGAAAAACATTTAAAACCTATGAAAACTGGTATAAAAAGGTCAGTCCAAATCATCACAGCCTTTGGAAGACACAGGAAACAACATTAAACCCTGTTGACATCATAAAACATGTTTGTGATATCGACAAAACAAGTCAATTTCAGTGCAGCCTCTAACATATATTCAGTAAAGTTTTCTCATGCCAGCCCACTTCCAGCCAAGCCTTTCATCATTTGTTTCCTCTAATTTTAGCTAAACAGCCACATAAAATCAGAATTTGTACCTCTCAAATGCACCTAGACATTTTACTTTTGAACTTACTCTTTTCTTCACACCAGCGCTACTGGAAGTCAGATGATAAGGAGTCCAGAGTCACTATTATTTAGCAAATTAAAGAAATATTGACTTTACGATTTTAACAAATTTTGAAATATATGTAATCAAGCAGGATACTATGACAGATACTTGAAAGAACTAGTCTGTAAATTTTTGATGAAACTTTTTTTTTTTTTTTTAAATTACTGTTAAAAAATTAACAGGTAATACGATTTTTCCATAGAGAACACTTCAGGTCAGCTAAGCAATTTTAGTAAAAAAAATATTGCCTATATTACTTACCTGTTGGGGTAACATAAATGTGCTCCTTTTCTATTTCCATAGTTGCTTAACAGAACTGACTGTGAAATGTAACGTTTTCCCTCCAAGACCTGAACAGAAATGGAGAAGCTTAGGGGAAGAAAAGCACCAGATGAAATCCTAAAGAAGCAAAGGCTTTCACTCACAAAATACAATGCAAAAAAATAGTTAATTATAACTTAAAAAAACTATCAGTAACCACTGAAAATCTCCTGAGAAGGTAAACTTTGTAAAATGAGACAGCACCACCCTCAAACACATCTATCTAAGCCTTGATGTCTTAGCAGTTGTCAGTTCTGTTGCTCATAGAGGATGCACCAGGATAAAAGCCGTTATTTTAAGGGTAAAAGCAGCTTTTTTTAGTTGATAAAAGCCACATCAACTTAGACTGTCCTAGTCTGCAAAGTGGTTATCTGTATGAGTATATAATATCAATGTAATTGCATCCACAAGAGAAATATTCTTCAGGTGAACTATACTGATAAAATGGTACCAATTTATCAAGTTCAGACCAGCCCCTAGAAGACAAGCTATTTCTTGTTCCTCTCCTCAAGGCCATAGTCTTTATCTTTTACTGTATGCATACATAGAGCTGTCAAGCTTTCACATCTCTGCTTTGGCACCCTTCAAACACCATTCAATCTGCAAAGGATAACGTTGACCGCTTCTCTTTTTCTGTTACTCTCTTACTCCCTCTTCCTAGCAGCTGCTATTGTACAAACCACCCCATATCACTGTGAAAGAGGTGGCATCATTCATCTTTCCTTTATGTACACAAAAAATTAAGCAGCTCCAGAATTCCCCATAGACTTTTTCACCTGCAAGATGTTCACAAATCATTTTGTAGTCCTGTGAATATTACTGGTATTTGTGTCTGCCCCGTAAGAATTCAGTGGCTCTTTACCACTTTCTCATCCTTTGCTGCCCCAAAAACAGCCTACCGTTGAGTTGCAAGATTATGACACCAAACGACAGCACTCCCTTCCCCTTTTCTTCTCATTCTCTTTCCTCCCCTTATGCCCACTTGCCTACCACAGACCTATTAGCTGCAAATGATTCATCACAAACCGTTGGCAATAAAGAAACTCTGGTTTAGGGCACAGTATCAAGCTGTCAAGCTGATCTTGCATTTCCTAATGTCAACCCAAACACTTAAAAGCTTTGCATAATAAGAAGTCGTCCCTGCCCCACACCTTTTTTTTGATAAAGGTTTTTTGTGAGTTACCTCAATGAATCATTCAGGAGTTCTGTTGGTTGAGAGCTTTCTTGTATGGATCTCAGTCTAATCTGAGCAAACTACCTTGAAAGAACAGTTTTATTCCTCCTTGTGGAATATTCCATCAGTTGTCTACCTCTTCAAAAACAAGCCAATGGAGAAAACCTGTATTAAATAACAATCATAACTTTCATCATTTGTAATCAAGTCCTAAATTTCAAGTGAGGAAATACTTATTCCATGTAAGACCCTAGCTGAAATTCTCCACCTATGGCAACGTAATAACCATATTCCATATGCTGTCTTGTTGAGATTCAGCACCCTTTGTTTGCAACGAGGATGATGGAGTAACTAAGCTTTACAATTCATGCTGTCATATCGATCAGGAGACATATTCCCAATTTAGCAATGCACCCTCTCATTAACTCAAGCCAACAGGTTTGCTTGGGCTTCACGATGCTGGTATTTATTACTGTATCAAAAAAAATCCTTTATATTTTGCAGAATTATACCTTACAGTTTTACCAATCAACTGCAGAACATAATTTGAAAACCTGCGTTAAGAACATCAGAAGAAACAACCCCAAAATTTTACATTAGAGATTATACGTAAAGAAAATGGACAGAAGTAAATGTAAGCATCTGCAAAACAAGAATGCTGCGAGAGATCTTGAGACTAATCAGTGATACGAAAAGTACTTTTAAAGTAGTTCAGCAGATAAGGGCATTTCCTAGGTCACTGAAAACTAAAATACACTCAGCTCTCTGTACTCACCACCACCGCATGTACTTTTTCTAAATAAGCAATTCTGCCCCGGCAGCTAAATAGCGACAAATTAACGTTTAGGAACAACACACGCTGCAGAAGAAAACTTCCCAAACTTCTCAAGACCTTACGTCTATGCAAAACATCCCTGAGGAACTTCCACGCAGCTTAGGCGATTTTTCTCCTCTCTCTAACTTTAAGCACAGGCTCCCCGTCACCAAGGCTTCGGATACCTGCAAACGCCAGCTGTTATTTCGCAGCCGCGCGCAAAAAATCGCCAGGTAACATTTAACTACCCCTACAAAACCCGTGCTGCTAAAGAAATCAATGGCGGAACAACTGCGGCCCGTAGGAAAAGGCGTGACTGGGGGCTGACGGCCGGCGGGCGCACGGCCCTGGCACCCATCGACCAGGCCCGGCTGCGGCCGAGGAGCACCCGCACCTCACGGGACGTGCCCTCAGCAACGCTGCCACCGTCGAGGGACCGG